AGCTCTGGTAAAAAAACATAAATGATAACAGTAAAAATTGCAATATGAGCACTGGTAAAAAATGGTTACTGAAGACATTAGGTTTAATAACCCAGAAATTCATATACAGATGTCCTCAAGGACACATGGCACAGTGGATAAAGGCATTAGATCCAGTGGCAGGACACAAAGAGTGTGAGTTCAATACCTGGTTAAGACGGGAGAATTTGAAGAGGGGCATTAACAGGAGATAACTGGTAACTGACATGGCACGTGGAACTAGAACAGTCTACTCCACTGAGTGAAATAAATGGTTCAGTTCAACATTCCAACCACCTGAAGAAGGCCAGATCATACAATGGCCAAAGATGAGGACAATAGTCTGAATAATGTAAATAGTGTACCAAAATCCCATGGAATTCTATATTTCACATTTTGGAAGAAAAATGACGTATGTCACATGAGCTTAGGTGACCGATTCTTACACACCTTTCTTAGGTCTTTCAAACATGACTCAAGTAGTAAACAAAAAAAAAGGAAGTAGAAACACAAATACAGCTTGTTTGTCATCAAATTTATTGTATGTTTGATTTAACAGCTAACGTTGAGGGCCATCTCACTATATATATATATAAAATACAAACACTCACTTTGGCATTAAATATACCATAAAGGGCTGATAATTCATGGAAAACAATTTTTTATAATTACAGATTATTTAATATCAATGCAGAAATTTTGTATTGATTTTACCCTTTTAAAATGAGTTTAGACTTGAAATGTTTCAGACACTGATATATAAATAAAAAAAAAAAAGGAATTTTTACAGTTGATATTTCCTAACCCTATATGATGATGATGATGATATACAGGTAACGTAACAGTTTATGTTTCGACTTTAAATAACTCAAAAATATTGATAATCCATAAAAACGAATCAATCAGTGAGACACATTGTCAGCAAACATTTGTATGTAGCATTGGTTGAGAAATGATTATTGAATCCTATCTAAAGTAGGATGGTTGAACAGACACATAGTCAAATTATGAGGCAACTTTAAATGAAAAAGTAATTATAGGGTATCTATTCACCTTCTATTAACAAGTGTTATTCAAATAATTTCTCTTGTCAGGAGTCTTTTTGCTTGACACTTTAACAACAAACAGTATAAAATACAATAAGAACAGGCATGGAATCAATTGTTAATTTGATTTGATTTTTTTTAATATTCAAACTGTTTTTAACATTCTACAAGTATAATTCATTTGAAAAACTACTTAAATATGAAATCCTTTTTTTGACACAATAGATAAAAGCATTTTTCACTAGGGCAGATCAGTCAGCAGCTTAACATGGTTAATTGAATTTTGATCTGAAATTTGGACTGTATAATATATGAACTATGTGTTCTGTACAGTTTTGGGTTAAGTGGATGAAAAGGAAGGAGACTATATTGAAAAAAGCATAAATAAGTGCTTCCCCTCTCACATCTTTTGGCTGCAGACAAGTGTGCATATACATTATGCATACACACCTAAATGGAAGTAAAATACAATTTGATTAACTCATTTTAGCTGAAGGTTTCTTTCTTTTAAGTATGGGGCTTGTTAAAAAATTTTTTTTTTCTGAGTAAATTTTGACTCTCTGTAGTTTTGGGGGGAAAGGATGAAGTTAATAAAAACAATTACTGAAACCTGAACCTTGCCACCCTGCATGCAAAGCTCCTTGACCAAGGAGTGGAGGTGTGTGTGTGTGGGGGGGGGTAATGGAAGGTGTGTTGACCAATATAATTTTCCAGGCAAATTGAAGCTGACCTTTTGCAATACAACCATCAACAGAAGTGGGAGACGCGGCTGACAGTGGAAGAAAATGCCTTCCAGAACATCTGAAAATCTGATGAGCATAGACTCAAAGAAACTCACTCCTCAACAAAGTCTTGACAGCCAAATTGTTGTTTTCATAACAGAATTAAGTCTTGTTTTCACCAACTATTTTAAGAAAATAGTCAAAATAATAAGTACTGTTCAAAAAGCAATGCTCTACATTGAAGACTGGGAAGTCACAAATGAATTCTGTTAGAACTCGCATCAAATCACATTTTATATCTTCAAGAACCCTATTCCCTTTAAACTGGTTTTGACCTCACTAAAACCCATTCATTGTACCTGCTTATTTGTAATTTGCATAATTTTGTATACGTTGGCATTTTCCTTGTGTTATTTTATGTTATTTGATTGATTTTGATTGTAATTTGCACATCCCTAATATTTAGTAAAAATTGCTTTTCTTTTAACAAAATTGTTTTGGTTTTATCTCTCCGAGTATTTCTCGTCATTTTTTTTTTTTAACAGCGTGCCTTGTTGTTGCTTGCTCTCCAATCTCTTAACTGAACCCACAAAAATATATGTTAATACTTTTCTTTTTCTCATAGGCCCAAATAAATAAAAATTTGAATGAACACCAAGAGGTAAAATCAAGCAAAATGAGAACTAAGTAACAATTAGGAAAACAAAAAAACAAATGCATGAATGACATCAGACATTGCATATATTATCTTTAAAAGTATTTCTTTCTCAAAGCTACTTATTTACTAGAAAAGAATTGTTATGGCTACAGAACTACATATAAATTTTATCTTTCTTTTCTAGCTAATATGTCAATGAATTATTATGAGAAAAGTCAACCAGTCAAAAAGATTGAAATAAGCCAAGCCCCTAATTGGAGTTCCTCTCCCAACACACGCACGCGCGCACACACGCGTCTTCACCATGAGAGCCTTTGGCAGCAGTGGAACTTAATTACTATTTAAAAATTGATAAGACAAACAAACATAAAAGATTCTAAGTTCTTCCCACACAGACAACGGAAATAAATGTTGCTGATCATTTAAAATTAACGTTAAAAAAGAATTCAAAAGATGTTATTTTCCCCAGAGTTGACTGGGCTTCAAAAGTTATTTCCCTTCGTTTTGTTTACAGCGTGTCAGTCAAGTTATGTAAGTTTCAAGTTCCGACATAACAATTGCGTATTTTGTGGTGGGAGGTGTGGAACAACCAGTGATTCAAGTGTCGGCCTTTAATAAACAATTATTAATAAAACTCGTGGCATTACTCGTGAGTTCATGCCTGTTGAAAGGCAAATCAGAACCAATGATAAACAGCTGGCTAATATTATGATCAACAGGTGTCAATAGCCTTGCAAGGTTATTTAGCAAAGAGATTCTACTATAGTCATTAATATTTATTGGCTAAAAATTATTTTGTTTGATCTGTACCACATTGCACTTTCATAAATTAACTCATAGACAAATAATAAAGTGCTTTTTGTGTCGACTTTCATTTGAAAATTTTTTATCATGAGCAACCAATATTAATTTTTTTTTTCTCATGCTGAGAGTGACGTGGGGAACCTATCAGGATGAGCAAGTTAAGATAAGTGACAATTACTACTGGAGCTCAGTTTCCAATAGGTGAACTATATCTGGGGTTGCCACATCTGTCACGTTATAATCACAATGAAAGATATATATTTATATATATGTTTGTCTGAATAATCTGGACATTATTTTTTATTATCTCAAATCCTCTGATCGACTTCTTAATGTTGATATTAATTAAATTCATTAAGGAAAGCGCCATAATTTTTTTTCTTTTCTTTTTCCCCAAGTACTTTCAATCTCATCTGATATAATCTTCAGGGGTGAATTGCTAAGACAAAAAAATTAACATAATTGATAGTTGTGAATTTTTTGTAAATATGCATGAAACACGTTCTGTTATAATTATTTTAAAAATGAACTGTTAAAAAGCTATGATGTTTTTTCATGTTTTGATCTAAGGGAGGTAACTTTAATTTATATAATTTTTTATATGATAATTTTAAAAAGATTGAAAGGGGTGGGGGTAGGGAGACAAACTATACCACCTTCCTTAATGAATTTAATATCAACATTAAGTCAGAGATTTCAAGAAGATTAAAATAAATAGACATATGTCCAGAATATTTGGTCAAACATGTTGACTATATATATACACACACACACACACACAGCATGTGTGATGGGTAAATTGTTGCTATTTTTAATTTTGTGCATGTGTATTGTTTGCTTTTGTTGCCTACACAGTATAATAGGGTCATTTGGGCATTGTGGGGAAAAAAAAGCACCAAGATTCAATTCACTACAACAGAAATTTGAAAGCCGCCTGCTGTACTGCTTGGAATTTATACTAGAAGCTCCAATACAGACCTTTCCAAGTGTTTGGGTGACAATCAGAAAGAGTTGGATGAGTCTAATGGTGATTACAAAGATGCATCAGTTCAAAAAACTAACTGATTGTTCTGATAAGTAAAGAACTCCTGAATTTGTTGGTGAGGGCTTCAGACTCAACAAAGAAGTCGACATCAAGTGCCTTGAAGAGGTAGTGCTGCCCTGGATCAAGTGGGTGGCTGCTAGAAAACCTTATGTCTGGTAACAGGAATCTGCACCATGCCACATAAACAGGAGAACCAAGTCATGGCTATCAGACAATTTCTGCAACCACATCACCCCTTACATCAGGCCAACTAATTCCCTAGACTGCAACTACCTTGATTATTATGTGTGGGGCGCAGTTGAGTGAGAGACCAACAAAACTCATTGTAACACCAAAGATGAACTGAAAGAAAGGATTCTGACAGCATTCACCAACTTAAAACAAGGAGACCATCCCAAAAAGTTGCAAGAGATTCTAAAGTCATCTGGAGGCCATGGTTGAAGCCAATGAGAATTTAACTGGGTAAATTTACTCATTGGTATTTAAAGATATTTTTGTAATTATGGTAAATATATCCGTTAAAACGACATGTCAGTGTTATTATTATTTTTGCGTAATTTAGATGGCAATTTATCCATCACTCTCTCTCTCTCTATATATATATATATATATATGTCAAATATTTTAATATTCGAAAAATTGAAAAAGCAAAAAAAAAACAAAATAGAAAAAAAAAAAAAAAAAAAAAAAATAGAGAAAGCAAAAAACTAAACAAAATAGAAAAAGCAAAAAAACAAAAAAAATAGAAAAAGCAAAAAAACAAAACAAAAATAGAAAAAGCAAAAAAAAAAGAACAAAAATAGAAAAAGCAGAAAGAAAAAAAAAAGGAAAAATGAGAAAAAACAAAAAACAGAAAAAAAGAAAAACGAGAAAAAAGACAACAGAAAAGAAAAAAAACGAATAAAAAAACAGAAAAAAAACAAACAAAAAAAAAACAAGAAAAGCCAGAAAAAAAAAAGAAAGAAAAAGAAAAACCAGAAAAAAAACAAACAAAAAAACAGAAAAAAGGAAAAACCAGAGGAAAAAAAAACCCTAAAAAAAACAGAAAGTAAAAGAAAAAACAGGGGAAAAAAACCCCACAAAAAAGAAAAAAAAAAAGGAAAAAAAAAAAGACCCCCCACCCCCCAAAAAGAAAGAAAAACTCCCACAAAAAAAACAGAAAAAAACCACAAAAAACAGAAAACACACAAATAACACTAAGAAAAACAGGAAAAAACAAAAAATAAAAACAAAAAAAAAACAAAAAAAACGCCTCAGTATGAATGATGCAGGTTAATTACTAAAAGCAACGTTTTATTTAAAGTTTTTTTTGATCGCTATAAATAGTACAGAGTTTTAAAACGATTTAATGGCTTCTAAATTATTCAACTTGGAATTAAAAATATATAAAAACAATTACTGCAAAAATTCATTCATAAAAACAATAGAACCCATAATATATTTTATTCTTAAAACAGGTTTTCTGTGTGTGTATGTACTTATCTACCTCGACAGAAATGTTTAAGGTTTACAATTAACTTTTAAAAATGAAAAATCATTCTTGAAGCATTTATTTTAGTTTTATTTTCAATCTGATATTTCCAAGGAGAAAAATACTTTGCTCTCAAAACGAATTTAAATTTTACTGGAAGGAGTTTTCGTTTTGAAATTGTTAAGATCGATTATTTTAGCGCCATTTCAGCCACCCGACATCACGATGTATTTCTCTTTATTAAAAAAGAAATCTTTCAAAAATATACTTTTCTGAAATTTAATATTAGCTGATTTATTACTTTAAGTTTAAAATATCGCAGAAATGCATTTTTAACATGGCAGTAGTTGCTTATTTTAGATGTTGACAGCTTGACTGACAGGCGGAAGTTTATCTAATGTTTTTTCTACGGTAAAAATTTATTGCGGAATATAAGGCAAGCGTCTTTTTAACCTCCCAGTAATCTTTAAAATTTAGGAAAATATTCTCAGTAATTCAATGTTTATTTGAATTTGTTATAGACAAGCGTATGGTTGCAAGAAAGAAATACGACAACAGCAGAAATAGATTTACGTGGTTTATTTCAACAGGAACGTGTGGGTTTGGGACAGCTACCTTGTGGTAAAGTTCATAAGCCGGCTTTCGGATCTAGGTCGATCTCTCATAGTAGTTCACACATGTTGACGGTGGTTGATGCTCTCCTGCTGCTGATCGCTCGGCCTGAGCGTGACAGGTCTGTTTAGCGGCCATCTGTGGACAGACTGTTGAACTTCCGTGTGACCCCATTTATAGCATTTTTTATGGCTTAACAGGCTCGAAAAACGAAGCGAGTATAATTAGGAGGGAAGCATTTTTACTGGACGAAAAATAGAGCACTTTAAATATTATTTTATTTTTCGACCGGAACACGTGTGTCGGGAACATTTGTAAAGAAAGATAATGGTCATTTTGTGACGGGGCTTTGTCCCGTTTACATCCGGTTCTCGCTCTTGAGTAAATCAGCCGAGATATGTCTTATTTTATTTTATAACAAATTTTACGTACTTTACGTTTAAATTTACTATAGTTATTGCTCATAGATTTTGACAATGTTGTCCATGGACTTAATATTTACAAAAATCAGCACATAAAAAAATAATTAAAATTCTTTTTAAAATATTTGGGGTCGCTAAATTGTAATAAGCTATTCTAGTTATGATTAGTAAATATAGTTTTCATTTAATAACTATCATCTAACTGGGAAAAATTAAAAGGGAGTAGAAGAGAGAGTGAGGGAGTGAGTGGAAGAGAGAGAGCGAGAGCGTGAGGGAGTGAGTGGAAGAGAGAGTGAGGGAGGGAGTGAGTGGAAGAGAGAAGACAAAATTTAAAACTATATAAATTATAATTAAAAAAAAAAAAAAAAAAAATGAAAACAATTCTTTTAAAAATTCATTATTCCTCAAGAAAAAAAATTATGACAATAGTGTCCCTTAATATATCTCCTTCATAAAAGCAATTTAAAGCTTTTCTAATTAAATAATGTCTTAGTTTTATATTGCATTTTTTTTATATTATGGATTAGAGCAGATTTTCAGTAACTGGGTGTACAAAAAGAAATTGATGATTTATTCTTCAATTTCTGCTTTTAACTAATATGAAGATTAAGCAGATCAAATTTAATTTCTTCAAATTTCATAAAATTAAATAAGTTTTGGGTAACAGATGTATGAAAAAAAATTCTAATCTCATTCCTTTGTGAAAGTTTCATTAAATTCTGACAATTATTTGATTTTTGCAAGAATTTCCAAATCAACGTAAAAGTTTCACTGCAAATGACTAAAATTTTCTATATTAATCTTTAAACTAAAAACATTTGTTTTAAAGTTTTCCTTACGTTTATAAAAAAAAAGTTTAGTGTTATCATAATTGGATAAGTAAGGTAAAGCTCTTAATTTACTCACCCACAGTTTTCTTTTTTTTTTCTTTTTTCCATTTTAAAAATGTATTCTCTTTAAAGTTTAGTCTTTACACTACAGAATCACAGGTTAAAAAATAATTAACTCCAAAGCTCTAAGTAAATGTTAATAAATTATCGGAAGAAAAAAAACTCGCTGCAAATTAATTGAACTGACAGATAAGCAGTTAACAGATTAAGATCAATGGTGAACAAAAAAAAAAAATCACATGATTTTTGTTTTTTTTTTTAGAAAAAAACACCGCCTGAAGACGTTACACATTTCATAGTTTCTTGATGAAAATGTAATCTCATCATTTTCCTTTTTGTAAGTCATTAATTAGCGGCGCCAGGAAAGAAGATTTCAGATATATACCTTTTTTTTTTTATAGTTTCAAATAGACAGACGAGGAGGAGATATTTTGTGGGCAAGGTCATCCATATTCAAAAACTACTTAAAAAAAAAATATTCAAATGAAACGTTTTGTTTAAATAAGTATGTCAAAAGGTAATTTGTTTTTATTTTAATTACTGGGTGATAGATTTCCTGGAATGAGTAGAGACGTTTGATTCAAAGCACCGAGAGAGCATAAAAATCAGTAATGATGTCTTGCGAGACTATTATGCCAAAGAGTAGCATGCATGCAGAAGGGCTGGGGCAGATGGTGTGACAGCTCCGGACATCCATATCGGCAGGGTCATCCAACCAAAGAGTGAAATAAGAATTCATTTTATATTTAATTTTGATAAAATGAATATTTCGTGTTTCATCTTTAACATTTAAAATGTCTGCATTTTTCAGTATTAGTCACCCCCCCCACACACACACACACTTAGGGGCATACTCAAGGAGCTATTACCGGGCATTACCAAAACTCTGCACATTACTGACGGCAGCTGATCTCACTCCCCAATTGACCTTTGAGGCAACAGGAAACGTTCTGCTGGAAAATGTAAATAAACAGAAGACCGTTTTGCTGATCACAATCTCTGAATAGTGACATGGAGAGGAGATATATCGTTTAAAAATCATGACTGTCATTAATTTCCAAAATAAAAATTTATCCTTTTTTCCGAAACATTATCTTTTAAAATTTCCATACAAGTCTTATATATAAATAAAAACCTACAGGTCTCAATCCAGAAAATATGCACAAACGAAAATAAAATAAATGTATATATATAAAAAAAATACAGTAGGATAAACGGGAAAATTTCGTTAGAAACAAAGAAAAGTGTTTCTGGGTTGTTTATGTGATATCCATTCTCTTCTATGACAGTATATGTTGGATAATATCCCCACGGATGATGAGAAAACTCGAGGCAGCAGAAATGTGGTTCTATAGAAGGATACTGAAAATTACATGGACGGAGTGATTAAGATACGAAAGAAAATGACAACAGAATGAACACATACCCAGAATCGGGAAAAGACAGCTGAAATTCCTTGAATTCACGAGGAAGGAAGGCTTGGAAAGCTTTACCCTCATGGGGCATATTGAGGGCGAGATAGAGAGAGAGAGAGAGAGAGAGAGAGAGAGAGACGAAGGCAGATAGCGAGAGAGAGAGAGAGAGAGAGCGAGAGACAGAGAGCAAAAGAGAGAGAAATTGAGTGGAAAGTTATTCTGACATTTGGAACACGGAAGTAATGAAGATGATGCGACTTCATGGAAGTGGCAAGACGAGCCCTAGCTACGAATCTCCAAGTCGGTAGACTATCTGATTTAAACATCTGCCATGGAAGTAGTGACAGGCTTGCAATGTCGTGTCTGTGGGAAAGAAGTTGCAGAGTTAAAAACAAGTCATCACCCACAAGATGATATTGAGTATTGACCATTTCCGGTAATAAAATATTTGAAGAAAAACAAAAACAAAAAAAAAAAAAAAAAGTCGAATTAAAATGAGATCCAAGAAATTAAAAGAACTAATTGAAACCGTTTTTGTAGGAAGTTAGCAATAATCTTAGGAATTATGGGAGAATTTGCATTTGAAATGCTCTTTATAATATTAGTATGATTTTAGTAGATATAAAATTTGTGTTTATAGAGGAATTCACACTAAGACACATGGAAACTAGAGTTACACATAGAAAAACGTCAATTTGTTCCACAGTCTAATTACTCCATTTCTGCCCCCTCCCCCCCCCAAAAAAAAACAACAGAAAAAAACCCCCACTATTCTAGATATTTATTTGATAAGTTTAATAGTTTGGGATGGGTGCACCCAGTGAAGATCAAATTCATTCTTCAGTAGTAATGACCTTAGCGACAACTTGAATGTAAAGAAAAAAATAATCTAGAATTTCTGATGCTGAATTTATTTCTTCGATTAATTTCTAATGTTAATGACAGAAATCGGTTGGAGTACATTTACAATCTAGATTGCTAGATACACAATTTGGGCACTTATTTTGAGTTTCTGGCAAGCAAGAATGAAATTACTAAGCAATAATTCTCCAAAATATGTTTAGGGGCCATAGCATCACGGCTTCAATCAACCCTCCTCACTGTCATAACATAGTTCTTTGTGCCTTTTCTACAAATATTTTCATAGCAATTGTTCTGACGAGATTTCTTGTTTGGTACCCAAACTTCAGGAATTTAAGCGTAATAATACTTGATTGGCATCTAGGTTTTATTTTACTCTTTAAATTGCTTAATGTAAGCGTAAGTTCTCGTCTAATAAATTTCTTTGCGCACACTTCTTGCCTATGAAACTCTTTCAGTTTCTTGCTTTCCTGTCAACTGCAAAAATTTTAAAATGCAACGTCCAGTCATTCGTTTCCTTTAATTGATCTTTTTATTCTCCTTTCTCTTCAGTAAGGTTTTCTCACCTTTTCATTCTCGGTACCCGCCCTTACATTTTAGTCGCTTTATCGCCTTACTTAGGATTAAAATTAAAAATTAGAACATTAATTCCCCGATTAAAATAATTTCAAAACGGCCACTGAATAGAAAACAGAGAGCCATTAGAACTGGAAATGGATTAGTTCCAAGTTCATAAATTTAAGCATTAAAAAAAGCATAGAACATCTGTTTACATTGGATTTTAAGAGTATTTACTTACGTACGACTGTAACAATATTAACAAAAAGATAACACCAAACGGACTCAAAACATCTGGGGATTAAAATAATGACGGAAAAATATTGAAGTAAGTCTTTAACTGGGTTGCATTCAGTTTTACGGAAAAAGTCACAAGAAACTGAGCAACCAAATCCAAATAAAAGAAAATCAATGGATAAAAAATAAAAAAAAAATCTGTCCATGGAAGAAAGATTTTTTTTCATTTACTCAGACGTCACTGGTGAAAACCACGGCTATATTTATGGAACACCTGCAGTTTAAGACTGATTTTGCTACAAATAGATTGGCAAAAAGAAGCTAAAAGCAGCCATTTACGACGAATAAAGGGTAAAAATCAATCCAAAATTCACAAACTTTTTTTTTCTTTTTTGCTTTCGTTGAAAACGAGAATCTTTTATAAGGTCAATTAAGTATTGAAAAGTCAACGGTTTTTATTTATCTTAATACCATCTGTAATAAAAGGCGGTCGACCATTAATCTGTACTTATTTTTGGTAACTAGATGGCAATTATGTATCAATTGTACAGTAGTTTATATGTGTTCCATAAAAAAAATTAGCACTTGCCTTTGTAAAACTGACCTCTCTGGCTCCTTTTCTGTCATCATGGATTTATGTAGTTTGTAGACTAAGAGTTAAAAAGTGTCTGAGTAGCGGTTCGCATCAAATAAATTGAGTGACCAATTGTCCGAATCGGATGAGTACATTGTGACGATTCGATGGTTAGATATGAACCAGAAGTTGGATGTTCTAGCGTTTATTTAAATTATTCTTAATGTTTATTTTTTAGATTGACTTGTGGCTTTTCAACCATCATTAAATCTTAAAACGGAAGTAAGCTAGATTTAAAACCATTAGTAGTGGCTTTGATCCTCACTAGATGCACCTTCGTATCAAGCTATACTTAACATTATTAACAACAATCTTTAAATCTCGAAAAAAACAAAACAAAACTCATACCTTCAGTCATAAATTTACGCGCGTGCGCACACACACATACTTTCTAGTAAAGACAAAGAAAAACTATTCTTTACTACCGCGTTTCCTCCATATTAACATTTTCAAGGCAAATGTATAAATACAGAAGTAAAAATATCGTTAGATTTTGAAAATTTGTACATTTAAGAACGCCTCAAAATATTCTTAAGAGCGTGAAAGTCAAAGTAAATTATGGAGGATGCTAAATGATATAATTTAATGTCTAATAAAGGAAAGTGAGTAAATGTCGTGGTTGAATTTTTTTTTATTTGTTTATACATGTTTATTTACTTACTTTCTTTATTAATTTAATATTTATTATTTTATTTTAATTTGATAAATAATTTATGTATTTATTTTTAATAGTTTAGGTTTAACTGTTTTCTTTAAATTTAAAAAGAAATTATGGTTATGTATGTTGGCTTGAGAAAAAAGTAATTCTTTTAGGAAAGGAGATATTTGAAAAAATTCCTAAGCGGACATTTACATTTTGGTAAGATTCGATAACGGCAATTGTTTTGAAACTTAGTTGTGAAATTGGTATATAGAAACGTTAGCTGTTTCATTATTTGCTTGTGGAAGCTCTGTTTTTTTTTTTGGCATTGAACAATTGATCTTTTACCATTTTAAGCGTTTGTGCTCTTACTGATTATTATATATATAAAAATGGTGGTACTCACTTGGAAAAATCTTGGGTATGTTGGCTTGCAATTGAACAAACCAATACCCAAGGAAAAATGAGGAATAAAAAAAGAAAGAACTAAGAACATGGAAACGAGTAAAAGCAACTACGTAAAGTGCTCAATACACGCAAGCAGAGCAAACCTAATATGAACCTTTGCCACTGAACGCAGGTGCCCCCAGGAATGTTGGATACCAAACCTGGTCCACCTGGAGGTTTCATGGAGGTAAATGGATCGTCAGGGAATCATTTCCTGACGATCCGTTTCCCACAGACGTGGGGGGCACGTGAAACCTAGAGTAAACATTGGACCACAACGTTCTTGCCTGGGTGGAATCGAACCCAAGACGCCCCAAAGTTACTGGTCTTTCAGGGCTCCCGCTTATATATATATATATATATATATATATATATATATGTGTGTGTGTTTTGATTTGAGCAAGAACAATTATTCATTAATACAGGTTTGGTTAACAAAGAACTTTCGTTAGTCTTTAATTAAACCTGTATATTGTGTGTGTGTATATATAAGTGACTGTTTATCTATCATCATTTTTCCCAGTCTACTATAGAACTTGGGTCCTTACTAAGATCTGCAAGACATGGGGAACAATGGGTTTTATGTGAACGAATTCAGTGTTGTTGTTCTCCTAGACTGGTTGCCCTCCCAAGGCTAAAGAGTTTGTTTCGTTTCAGTTAAATTTTTCTCGGACCCAAAATCCATTTTTGAAGTAATTGAAAAAAAAAAGTCGAAGAATGAGACGACCAAAATGTTTAAGTTTAAAGTTCATGAGAGATAATCTGATTTACTCACATAAAAATAAAAAAATAAAATAAAAGGAAATAAAACTAAAATAAGCGACAATAAATATAAAAATAAAATAACCATAAAAAATAAAACAAAACTTGAAATTAAGTCTTATTTATGTGTGGAATAATATAGATTTATATATATATATATATATATATATATATATATATATATATATATATATTATTGCTTGTAAATTTTGGTGACGAGAAGCAAATAAGTTTAAATGTATCAATAAGAAAAACATGGTTTGAAAATGACTTCGTTTTTTTTTTAGTGACACCCACGTACATACACAGAAAAAGCAAAGGAATAGATACGTTCGCCTATCGCCCGTGTTTATTGAATAAGAGTTGAGGTTTATCTTTTGTTTCCTGTTTAGAATATGGTTTACCAGTTCTTTCTTCCATGGTCATAATGTTTTAACTGTCTTAACTTTTTGTTGATCTGACTGATCACTGGCTGCGACTTTTCATTATGAGGGTACTGGGTTAGCAGTTTTTTTTCTGATTGCTTCATCCGACTGATAGTAAGGAGCTTGAACTCTTTGGTAGCGCTTACAGAGGCTGCTCTGATCAACAGTTGCAAAATATTGGGGTATTTTAGTGCCATACCACGCATGGATAGGTGTCCTGTATGTATTTCCAGTGGGCAACCCTTTGGCCACATTATGTCTTAGTCTTAGCTACCTTTTGGTCTTGGCCAGTTTGTGTTGTCATAGACGACAGTGATAATTATTTGGGCCTTTTTCTTAAAATGAAATCATATGACAGATACAACGAAATGAAATACAAGTAAACCAGTAAAAAAAAAAAAAATCACCTACTCCCGTAATATTTCTTTCTACAATACTCGTGGAATATGTTCCAAATTTCTTTAGTGTATAAGATTTTCTCTTGAAAGATTCTCTAGATATCCACGCACTTTACGAAACTAGTTTAAATTCTTCTATCACTACCAATGAATTATCTGCAAAAAGTCAAGCACATATGGCACTAGTGTTTATATCCTGGAAAATCTTCCAAATGCAAGAGAATTGTCTATTGAGTCCCCAGGTGATTCGTTCATAT